TGTAAGCATGATACAAGAAGCAAATTCTTCTGCTCTACTGCACTCTGATTAGGTCTCAACTGGAGCAGTGTCCAGTTCTGGCTGCCATATTTCAGAAAAGATGCGGACGAATTGGAGAAAATCAAGAGAAGAGCAACAAAAATGATTAAAGTTATAGAAAACATGACTATAAGGGAAAAAAATTGGGCTTGTTTAGTTTGAAGACAAGAAAACTAAGTTGGGACATGATAACAGTTTTCAAATACAGTGAAAGCTTTGTTATCTGGCACATTAATTAATAGGCAACCTCCATCTCCCATAAGTGTCAGATAAAAAAGCTTTTACTGTACATAAAAGTTTGTTATATGGAGAAGAGAGAATGTATTTCACTCTTTTAAAATAAGACTTTATGCCAACTTAAAACATATTACAAATAAAGGAGAGTAATATTGTGACTGCTTCTAACAAGCAGAGTTTTTAATAGCAGTCATATATTGCAGTGGTTCCCAACATTTTTTATGTTGCAGACTAGCAAATGCATTCACAAACATTTGGTGGACCGGCAACATTTTATTTGCATATTCATTATGAAAATAATGAATATGCAAATATGCAAATAAAATGTTGCTAGTCCAGCGGTTCCCAGCCTTTCCAGATGGGGACCCATTTTGATAATTCAGGAAGACTTGGTGACCCAAGGCAATTGAAAAATGGAGGGAGGAAGGAGGGAAGAGCCACCTGGTAAGACACTTGGAGAACCTTTTGAAATATAATGAATACCCATATTTGGATCCCGACCCATAGATTGGAAAACCCTGACCTAGTCCAAACCCAGCCCCTTGCTCCCCAGTGCCTAATGCCCTTTGACCCCTTAACCTCTGACTCCTACAGCCCATGCCAATACTCTCTTGCCCTGTGATCCTACCATGTCCTCACCCGTCATCCCCACCCCACCCCCGCACTTGGCAGAGCGAGGCTGCCCCTTCTAGGGAGTGTGGCCATTACCGCCCATGTGGGCAGGGAGAGTGGCCGTCCTCCATTGCGCCCCTTCTCATCCCAAGCATGTCTTGCACCCCCATGGGGGGGAAGCACGGAACCCCGACCAGCTGCCATTATAGGGTGGGGGAGGAGGGAGGGAGGTGCTGGCACAGGCAGGGGGAGCGGCTGTTGGCGGCGTGCGCGCCTCCCTCCTTCTTTGTGCCCCTTCCCTTCCCAAGTGCGGAGTTGGGAGGAGGAGGAAGGCGCCTCCTGCTCCACCTCCTGCTGCCACTGCCTGAGCCACCATGGCTGCTGGAGATGAGTTACCAGGAACAGCTGGCTTGAGCTTCAAAAGCTACTGCAACCCAGCAGCAGGCTACAGTCTGGCAGCTGGAAACCACTGATATATTGTATAGCATTCTAGGACTGGAAGGGACCTCAAGAGGTCTTCTAGTGCAGTTCACTGATCTCAAGGAAGGACCAAGTGTTATATAGATCTTCCCTGATAGGTGTTTATCTAACCTGCTCTTAAGTCTACAACGGCAGAGATTTTAGAACCTCCACGGATAATTTATTCCAGTGCTTAACCTTTTAGTGAGTTAGGAAATTTTCCTAATACCTAACCTAAAATCCCCTTGCTATTTCTTGTCCTATCCTCAGAAATCAAGGAGAAAAATACTAATTAAAAAACTTCCAACATTTGTTATTAAAGCAGAGGCATAACTACACTTGTGTACTAAAATATTGTATATAAACTTTAGTGAATAAATTGTGGCTATCCCCAAAATGCTTTCCTTTTTGAGTAATACAGTTACTTAATTTTTTAAATCAAACTGTCATGTAAGAAATGAAATTCAAGAAAAATCTTTAATTTTAATGAAGACCCTACTAGCAATAGGCTATTTTTACTTTAAGGCCAGAAAGGACCAATATGATATAGTTTTGACCTCCTGTGTAACACAAGCCACAGAATTTCACCCAGAACATCTTTTAGCACATCAACCAATTCTGACTGAAAAACTTCAAGTTCAAACGGTTAATTATCATCACTGTTAAAAACTGTCTTAAATCTAGCCTCCAGTCAATTGGCTCGTTATGTTTCGTTTGCTAGACATAAGACCTCACTGCTAAAAGTTTAATTTTTCAACGTTTTACTTTGAATGGAGCAGCTAAGGGAAACAAAACCTGGTTCCTAGCTTTGAATACAGCTAGAAGAACATCTTGTAGAGTTCACTGTAATGGGCTAGTAGTCGTGAATCCAGGAGCACATAATATTTTGGGAAAAATTTTTGTCTGATCCAGACACCACAATGCTCCTTTAGTCTCATGAGGATACTAGAATGCTCATATGGACTCTGCTGGAGCATCCAACTTCTCAACAACCAATTTAGCAACACATAACCTACACATATGCTCTTCTGTTCTACAGATTCTTATACTTCACCTTTCATCATAATATGAGTACTCTCCAGTAGTGCACTAAAATTGCATTAAATAATTATCTCTTATCCATGTAAGTAATGGCTGTAAATGCCTCAGGAATGTTAAGCAATCAAAAATGAGAGGACAGTCTGATTTTGAGGGGTTGCAATATTAAAATGTAAGCAGTGCAATGGGGAGGAACAGACTTTTGGGGAATCATTGTGTTTATGATCATGACATACAAGCTATGCAAACTCCATGATCTACAGTATTTGTGAAGCATTGTCCTTGAGTCGTGTTATGGAACATGATGGGGTAAGCGAGCCTTTAGGACCAATTGTGGTTGAGTGGCACTCATATTGCATAAGAAGTAGGGAGAGTCCTGACCATTACTTGCATGAGGTGAAGATGTGGCCAAAATGGATGACACTTTATTGTAACCGGGATTGCCTAGTTTTATTTCTGAATAGATTTAAATTGGTGATCTTGTAATCTTGGTTAGTTTTGTTTGGAAAAATTGCTTCTTCATACTTGAACGTAATAATACCAATTGGGGGACCTATGTATCTCAAATCTTAACTATATTATTAATACCTTAGGGTATGTCTACACTACCCCGCTAGTTCGAACTAGCGGGGTAGTGTAGACATACCCTGACAGTGAAAACCCCTGATCCAAGGAACAAATATATAAAACTATGGTCCGTATGTTCCCTTCTGTTAAAAGAGAAGACACTTACAGTGGAAACTGGCTGGGGATATAAAAGGGGGGACCACTGATTCTGCCAAAATACATCTAATTATCAACCAATCCCCTTAATATAGTCCCATAATCAAGTCTGTGCTATGGGTCTCAAAGATGGAAACCAGAGGATTTCCCTGGAGAAGTACCCTGTCTGTCTGCAATACCCTCTACTCTGTTGCTCTCCGTGCAGTGAAATACATCCTTGATATAGTTTCTGGAATAGGTGCTCATATGGAGGCCACAACTTCAAGAGCAAACTGCACCACCATCTGTGAAAAATGCTGTATTGTATTATGGGAGCTCTGAGTCTTCAGGATGGCCTGAAATCCATAGGACTTTTCCATGAGGATTAGGTCACCAAAGGGCTTAGTGGATCTCAACCTCCGGTCCATTGGGGCAGGATCTTGCCATACACAGATGGAGAAGGAATTTCTAATTAGTAGAAAATTAAGCTAGCTCCTACACGGATTTATTTAACTAGGAGATATTGGTCCCTTACTACTAAGGACAGACATATAAAGTGAAAGTGTTTAGAAAGACAGCATTTTAAAAAGTATCTAATTGCTTCATGTTCTGTAATTGTTATTAACCCCACAAGGAAACCTACCACCACTAGATTAGTGGATTCTGTATAAGAATCAGAATGTGACAATTCGCTCAATGGGGCAAGAAGAAAGCTGAGATGCTGGACAGCTTTGTTTCAGCTTCAATGACCATGCTACCTAAAGCGCATTTTAAATCTGAATCCAAGGCAATAAATCTTTTCTATGCATTCTTCCTTTCTAAATAAATGTGCATATTATACTTAACATCTCGAGAGCATACATAATTGTAAAAGTATTATATCACTGTAATGCTAAACAATCCCATTGGTTGAAAGAAGGCCATGTAACCCATAGTAGCTGTTGCTTTAGTAGGCTGTCAATGGTGATTTTTAAACTTCAAATAGATGACCTAAAACAGAAGTCTCATTAAAGTACAACTGATGCTGCACCACATTTAACACAAAGAGATCATGGGTTTGACACTCATTTATTGCAAGGAGTATATAGTGGAGTGTAGATTGAGAGCACAGGTCTGAATGTGGTAGAAAACCTGTTTTTGCATTCCTCTCCAATACTGGGAATGTTGTGAACAGGAGCAGTCTTCAATAGCAACTTAGAGTTACCTGAGAAACTGACACTGCAGCTGGGAATCAAAAAGGCCTCTCAGACAAGTCCCCTGTGCTGCCAGCAGGAAAGCAGGATGACACAGGAGCCCTTTGATGGTTCTATGCCTAGAGGATACCAACTGCATTATGGCAAACTGGCCAGGATCTACTTGGCAGCATGATGAAAAGGGGATGTGCAACACCAAAGAATCTGGCTCTATAGTTGAACCATATACATTTATTTCACAATTGGGGCCACATTTTCAAACATCGGTGTCCACTTTTACTGGTGCAAAATGGTAAGCACAAATGTGCTTGTAGATTTGATTGCTTAGATACATAAATGATTTCTGGTGTATATATAAAATTACACCTACAAAAATGGAGACCCGGGTTAGGGTTGCCTGAAAATTTGACCCTACATTAGTAGTTGGGACAAACTTCTATATCTTTTTAAGAGCTATCATTCATATTGTTTGGGGAGCAAAACATCAAGTAAATATAGGCCTAAAATAAAAGAAAATGAAAACAGATTAACACACACCCCAGAATACCAGCAGGCACAATCAAACAATATCAAGAGTAAAAATAAATAGCTAAAATAGATACAAGAGACAAACTAAAATCTAATTTACATTTATTCAAGATGAATGCTGATAATTAACAGCTAGATCTCTGGTACTGGCTGATACAAAGTCATTTTACCTTATGATTCAAAACAGAGCCCCTCAGAAAAGGCTATCTATAATAAAACAACTAAAAAAAAAACTTAAATGGGATGCTGAATGATAACATAAACCAGCATATTTATAAGTTTACAAGAAAAAAAATTAATCTATAGACGAGTAAATACGTCCTATTGAGCAATACCTGTCTATTCTTTGATGCTGGATATTATGACGTCCTTTTTTCAACCCACAGAAAAATGTCTCTAAAAACCCCATTTTCCAGTTAGTGTGATGTGCAGAAAGGAAAGATATGCATACAAAACAAACAATATACTGTTCACTTCTGTTTATCCAAATGGCCTGAGAGTCTAGGAGGGTAGTGAAAATATTATTGGAGGATGGGACTGACATGGGGCATAGCCACACAATACCACTAAAATGTGGCCTAGCCACTGCTCAGTTATGGCAGTAGGGAAGTGGCTCTGCCATTACGCCATCTAGGTCTGGTTACTGCCTCCCCATTGGTAGAGGCATGCCTCAAACCCATCCATGGCTGTGGGTGGGTAGCGGAAAGGTTACTTCATTTCCTATTGATGGAGGTATGTCCTGCCCTCATCCATTGCTGGGTGAGGGTTCTGGCCAAAACCTGATTGGCTTCAATTGCCAAACAATCAGAGCCTGTATTACCTGGGAAGCAGAGATGAGTAGAATGGTATGAAGCACTAGCAGCTGTAATAAAAGACTGTGCCCCTTGGCCACCTGGTTCAATCTTGAAAAAAAAAATCTAGTTCTGAGACCCTTTCACAACCCGTCATGTACATGGGGAATTAGTCTGTGGCTAGTGCTCAGATTTGCATGAGTCTGGGTAATAAGACTTACACAGCCTACTCATGGCTATATCACTGAGGTCAGATATAGATTTAGGGAGGCTGAACCTTCTCTAGCCTTAGCCAAGTGCTGCCTATGCCTGTGGGATAGGCAAAACTTTTGAGTAACAGGGCATTTGGATAAATGCTATTAACTAATAGGGGAGGGGACACTGTGGCTTAGGATGACTATGATTTTTGTATAGAGAATATGGATAATGAATTATATTGTATATATTGTTTTAATGTACATACTATACACTCTGTAACAATTAGTCTCCGAGCAACATATATTTTTTCATTTATGTACAAATAATATACAGTTTATTATAGTTGTTTTGCCTGTTTCTCAGATTTATCGTAACCCATGTTAAATGAAAAGGAATGCTCATTAATTTTGTTTTCTGCTCCATTTCTTTATGAATTACTATTCACATATTAAGAGGCTCTCTCTAAGAAGACCACTTTCTCTCACAAATATTTCAGCTTCATAATGCTAACAACAATCACCATCAGTTTTACTTACTCATTTACAAGCTGTTTTATGTTGCTGCTGTGAATAATTTAATAATAATACATATTTGAAAAGAACAAAACCATTTAAAGACACAGTTTTAGTTTCTCACATAGGGAGAACACTCATTTTTAGTTGCAGGAGTTATGACTGAAGACTTTCCTTAAACGGGGACAGAGTAGAATGAGATTCGTCCACAATACAGGCTTAACATTCAATTACAATATAGCTGTTAAAAGTTAAGAAATGTAGTGACAAATCTTCAGTAATAATCATTATATCAATTTCAAATTATACCATTTTCCACAAAACCACCAATCTGTTGACGTAGCAGAGAAATATCAACTTTTTTAAGAGAACTTAATGCATTTGATTTCTTATTTCAAACCTTAATAAATTCATCATCAAAAGTGTAGCTGAGTAAGTTACAACGCTGAATGTTCAAATAGGATGACCTGTGCCTGACTTTCAGGCATTGTTTGTTTGATAAGCCTAATTTGGTCCAATTCTGAATTCCTCATTGGATTTTGAGGTAGGGCCTGAACTGGGTCAGTTACATTGTATCTGCCAGCCTGGTAAAAACTGCAGTATGCTAGTCCCTTGTCCGCTGAGTTTCCCTGCATTTTCAGCTTTTGTCTAAACTGGATGATTTTACAGATTAGAAATAGGATCACAGCACAAGCCAAAATGAAAAAGGCTAGTAAAATGTCAAATGCCTGTTTCAGTTTCTCCACCTGCTGTGTGCAGATTAGAGATGTTTTTAAGGATACAGATGCAGAATCTGGTGGAAATATGCTTTTCTGCCCTATGGTCAAGTTAACTGGCATAATCTGGGCAGCTGTTTGCATGGCTAATACTGATAACTCTGTTGTTGCTTCTGATGGAGTCCCAGCAGCATGTTCTTCATAAAGAAATTGACTAGAAGATGGGGTCTGAGCTCTCTCCCAAAAAGTAACATGTTTAGTACTAGCATTTTCCAAATGTACAAGTGTATCATATGTAGTTTCTATATGCCATGTCATCACTAACGCGGTGGTGCTGTTTTGGATACTCACAGATGTTACATTCCAGGTTGTCTCTGGATTAATGGTAATTATAGCACAGTCTGTAAATTCAGTCCATTTAACAAAATGCAAAGGTCTACCACGCATACTTGGGGGACTTTGACAATGGATTTTGACAGAGACTGATGATAATGCTAGCCAATTACGAAGCCCAAACAATTTGCAGCTACAGTTCCAAGGGTTGTTGTTTGCCTGTAGATGAGTTAATGAAACCAAAGGCTTGAGCACTTTCGGCTGCAAACTGGTAAGATTATTAGATGCTAGATTTAGAATCTTCAAAGAAGAACCTATTTTTTCAAATGTATTATCACCAATACTAACTATTTTATTCTTGTCTAGTTGCAGGTACATTATATTATGCAACCAAGTAAAAGTGTTAGAATTTATATGTTCTAAATCATTATCACTTAAAATTAACTTTTTAAGGTTATTTAGTCCAACAAAACCATTCATGAAAATGCTTTTTAGTTTTGCACTCTTCAAAGACAGATATTCAAGCCTGTCAAGTCCTTTAAATGCAAAAGGATGTACTGACCCAAGAGGATTATGAGACAAGGAAAGTCTTTCTAGATTTTTAAGTATTCCAATGGCCTTTGATGGTACATGTGTTAAATTATTAGCATCAAGGTACAAATACACAAGGTTCCCAAGGTGATGAAATGCAGTATCTGAGATCCGTGAAATCTTATTGCTGGCTAGATTAAGTGTCTGAAGACTAATCATTCCCAAGAAAGTGCCACTTCCAAGGATACTGAGGCGATTCCTTTCAAAAGTTAAATAGCGAACTGAAATCAGACCACTAAATAATCCTCTAGGAACAAAAGATATTTGATTATTCTGAAGATATAACCAATGAAGATCTGAAAGCCCTTCAAATATTCCTGGATCCAAACGTTTTATGTTATTATTATTTAGATGTAAGTAGCACAGTGTATTAAGTTCAACAAAAGCCTTTGGATGCACATATGAAATGCTGGAATTATCCAAATAGAGCACAGCAAGCTTCTGAAGACCTGTTAATTCATTAGGAATTACATGTGATATATTATTTCCACTGAGGTATATGAGAACTGTACTTTTTGGAAAGTTCTTTGGAATGCTTGAAAGACCTAAGTTACGACATTTAACTTGTTTCCCAGTGCAGAGCTGGCAGACGGATGGACAGCCAAGTACCTCTTTCTGGAGCAGCAACAAAAGAAAACAGTTAAGAATATGCAGGAATATTCTTGTGCAGGGTACAGAATTTTGAAGTCCATACACATCCCTGTCTTTGGTTTTCCCAGTCATCTCTGACTTAGCTATTAGAGATAAAGAAAATCAAATTTGTAAATATTGCTTGTTGAAAGTCCTAAGATTCTATTTATACAATTAAAAAAACAGATGCAGCTCTTTCCAATATTTTTAATATTCTCTGACACTATGCCATATAAATTAACAAATAGTACTTTTAAATAGTCTGTTCTATATCACTAAACAATTAAACAACATAAAGACTGAGCTACTTCTTTTGTAATTGCCCTATATTAGAAGGGCACTAAAAAAAACCAGTAAACGAATGGGAAAATGATTGTACTCGCCAAGCTACTTGAAATATATTTAATCAGTGACCATTTAAAAGCAATTAACTCTGTCATAACAATGGCTTTCAGTAAATTCACATTGTAAATTCTTTCCCTTATTTTTATATATTTGAAAATGCCTAGTTTTAAAGCTTCACCTGCATTTATGAAGAAAGACTAACTGATTTTTAAATTCATTCAAACAAGTTTCTTTTCATCAGTTACCTTTCATTCCTTTTTTTGAATTTTACTTCTAAGTGAGCCCAGTTAAATTCAAAATGTTAAAAAAAAAAAAGTCTTACCCCAAACCACAAATTCATATTAGCACAGTTGGCTTGTGATGCAGTTCACTGGACTTGAAAGTTTACTTTTTAGACTTGCTGTAAGACTTTTCTTAGCAATATTCTGGTTTATTAGAGTGCTTGCTTCTGCAACTGTTTACTCAGGAAACATTCTACCCATAGGCTCTTCCACAGCCAGTGGCTAAAGAGAGGTTACCATGGATACAGGAAATAGTGAGACAGGAAATCATTTTATCTGTGCTTCTAAAGTATTGTTGGAAAGGAAATCTCAGCTATTTATTTCTAGAAAATGCAGAATTAAATTCATTTGTTGGAGTGCATAGCTATTACAGTCCCTATATGCTTAACTTTTAAAAACTGGTGGTGCACTAAGAGTTGTATGTCTAAACATTACAGGATAAAACATATTTATTGTGATAATACACATCATAAATGTAAAAGCATATACTCGAGCAGAAAATAAAAACATTTTAAGCATTCACATAATTTGACTGCAGAAATAAGTTGCTCCTAATGCAAACAAAATAATTAACATACCATTGCCAAATTAGAAACTACTGAGATCTATAAAGGGGGACTTTGGCTGTAATCTCATCATAAGTAAAGTCAGATCTGGTTAGTATTTGTAACCAGGGTGGATTTGATATAAATCAAATTTATTTAAAGCATAATTTAAAGCATGCTTTCAATCACTAGTCAGGAAGACTTGATTTAATCATGATTTTCTACATAAAACTGCATTCTTGTTGGTTGTTATAACCTTAATACATACTCTTCACAACTCAGATATAGATGTATTTTGAAACTTTTCAGATTAGTTTTTCAGCTATATCAGAAAATGAATGAATGACTGATTTTTTTCATTTACCAAAGGTAACTTGAAGCAAATATTTATGAAGTCATTGGGAGGTGAACTATCTCCAACTACACAGGTTAATAGCTAATATTTGGAGGATTTTCTTGTCATGCTGTATTAGGAGGAGAACATCAACAAGGAGACATTTACGTTGTTTTATAGAACTAAAACAACATTATATATGCTGGATATTTTTCTTCAACGGAAAACACATAATATTTTAACAAACGAAGCCTATACATTTTTTAATTCAGTTGAACATTCAAGTTTTTTAAAATCAGGTCTGTTTTTGTTAAAATTGTTTTTAAATAAAACAGTTAAATGAAATATTTTTAAAAAATAAAATAACTATGTCAGCCAGGTCAACATGAGAGACTTAAAATATTGACTTCTGCAGCTAACTCAGTCATCTTCATCTGCATTTTCTTGTTTATTTATAATATGGAAAAGAAAAACAAGCTTTCCTACTTTTTCAGATCCCAAATGACTTCTCAATTTGGAATGAATCAGCCAAAGAAAGAAAATAATCTTTCTACACCAGCAGAAGCAGCTACTGCTGATAAAAGTGAGATTATCACTTAGTCTCTGAAACCAAATGCTACAGTGACTTCCAACAGTTCACTGGTGTAACTTTCTTTATAAATCGTCAGCAAACATATATTTCTTGAATGGTTCATGCTGAGCTCTGAAGTTTATTATAGTTGGCATCATGGAAGGGTGATTGCTGGATGCCCATGTCATAGCCTCTTCTTCAGCAGTTAAGGTTTGACCTTGGTACTGAGTATTGAGACTATTTGCAAGAAAATGTGCTGGAGATAGTGGTCGTCTCATTTGTTTTTTTTAATGCTTGTAATTTAACTCTGTCCTTGCATATTTCTCTTTTGAAGATCTCAATCATTTCCTTCCAAATTTCAACATCAGCAGCAATGAAACAGCAATTTTCCAGAAATAGGCTTGAGGGTACTCAGCATGTGTTCAAAATATCTCTTTTAAGCCCAATTGTTGACAACTGTGGCTGTGACAGTGCCATCTATTTTTTCACAATTTTGTTTATGAACCGTCATCAGATTAAGCCAGTTCTTGATATAGTGCTCAAAATAGTCCACTACTGAGATCCATCACGTGTCCTGTGGGAGAGTTAGCTTGGTTCCTTCAATTTTTTTTTTAGTGCAGCTGCTGAAAAGTGGTTGCCAGAGAGTGCCAGACTAGAGAGGTTCAACTTATCTGTAAACCCTGCACTGAATACAAAATTACTAATTTCCTCGTTGGCTTTTCTATGACACCCAGAACCATTCACAAACATTAATGAATTTATCTTTACAATACCTCTCCAAATAAGATATTATCTCCACTTTACAAACAAGAAAGTGAAATAAATTTTTCATGCGTCCACTAATTTTGGCAGCCTAACTTGAGAGGCTGCGGGCCTGATTTTTCAAAGTATGCAATGTTTTATAAGCATTTTATTCACCTAGTACCATATTGACACAACATGGGTCATCACCAGATATAGGAATTTTAGATCCACAGCACAGACCTCTAATACATGAGCTAAAAGATATCAGTAGTAAGATATTATCTTCTGTGCGTGTCTACCATCAAAATGGAGTTTGCCAGTAAGTTTCACAGCAATTTGCTAGATAGCACCAGACTTAAGTCAATTCTAGGTTCTGGTGTGAGCATGCTCTAGCACTTATGTATAAGTCTGTTTCTCACCCCAGACTCCTCCTTCCTTTTCCATGGCTCCTACTTCCTGTCACCCATTTGTCTCCTCACCAGCTTTGCATTCTAGTCAGGTTGCCTTCTCTTCCTTGCTCTCATGGGACTAGGAGGGGAGAATTTATAACACAGAAGAGACAGTATCTCTGCTCTCAATTCTGGTACCTAGCACCATGACTGCTCTTGGCAGCTAACATGAGCAATTCCAGAAAAAGTCCTGCTAAGTTCCTGAATCCCCAGAATGAAGTATGCTCAGTCCCACTGTGGAGATGTCCTATGTGCAGTCCAATTATCACACAGGAGTTGTGTGGCAATGGAGGATTATCAGTGCAGATGAATTTTTGAAAAATAATGTTGCCTGCCACTAACAGATCTCTACAGTGGATGTACAAATTAATTTTTCAAAGGTATGTTGTTTTTTTTAAACCTCTGGGGAGGTTTTCTTCAGGACAGCAAAGGGAATATGCTTGACAATGTGGTGAAACCTCTTGTCAAATATTAAGTTTCTTTTCCAATACCTGGTTGTAATGAAGCTTCTCAACAAACTGGTTGGAAAAAAATCAACACGGGCAAAACAGCATACTTTTTTCTAAAGTTGTTCTCAAAAGCCACTCAACTGTTTTTGTTAAAATTGTGCAAAAAAAAAAAAAAATCATCCTGAGGAACATATCTGTCAGGGAAATTTTAAACCTCCAGTTTATCAAGATTGTAAGCACTAAACATAACGTAATGAAAACATCTTAACTACAGCTGTTCCTACCTGCCCCTCCTATAACAAGCAGGTATTTGGGACACAAAAATGCTGACATGGAAATAAACTTCCAGCCAGTTTAAACTCTGCTCCAAACTTTGATTTGATTAAGCATATACTATGTATACATACAGTAAATATATATGCATGTTTAAAGGCTTGATTTATCATTTTTCCTGCATGTTTGCTTCATAAAGCTATGGACATGTCTTTGTAGATGGTACATTCTGAGGTCAAATTCTTTACACTACTTTAACAGAGTATCATCCATAGAGAATTTGATCTGGGATTTTCAATAACCCGGCCCGCCTGTATGACGTTTTTGTTTCCTAAGGCTTGTCACTCTATATTGCGTAATCCTTAGTAACACAGCAAATGGAATATATGAACAACTTTCCAGCTGCACACAGAATGTTACTGAGAGATCCTTAGTATGCCCAAACAGTGGGAATTTTACAGAAGCTTTTTTAAAGTATGTAGTAAACACTGAATAACAACGATTTCTTATGTTTCTTGTCCCTTCAGTGAGCATACAGATTTTTTGCAGCAATTTGTCCTAGTAATTCAATTTGCAAATTTAGAATTTTTTTTTTTGCTTTATTTCACAGCGATTGTAACTAAACAGTATAGGTTGAACCTCTCTACTTGGGTGTTCTCCGTTATGGCGACACCTGTAAACCAATATGATTTTAGTTGGCAATGCTCATGATAAGTGGGCATCTGTCTAAGTTTTCTGCAGTCTTAGGGTACGTTTACACTTGCTCCCTAGTTTGAACTAGGGATGCAAACGTAGCCGACCAAAATTGCTAATGAAGCAGGGATTTAAATATCCTTCATTAGCATAATCTCACCCATGCGCTATTCCGCTTGCCAGCTGATTTGAACCTGGAAGTGCGCTCTAGGACACGTTAGTTCAAATCAAACCTCTTGGGTTGAACTAACGTTACTCCTCAAAAAATGAGGGGTTTGATTCGAACTAACACATCCCGGAGTGCACTTCTTGGTTCAAATGAGCTGGCAAGCGGAATAGCGCGTGGGAGAGATTATGCTAATGAAGCACGGGATATTTAAATCCCCGCTTCATTAGCAATTTCGGTAGGCTACATTTGCATCCCTAGTTTGAACTAGGGAGCAAGTGTAGACGTAGCCTTATAAAGTTTGTTTACAATCACCAGTCCTGGCCCTCAGTGTTCTGTGCAGTTCTTTAGCTCTAATTTACCCCCAATTTACCCCTATTTCAAATAGCCAAAAGCCTATATTTTTAATGTTCACGCTATAAAAGCAGTAATGGCCCTCTTACAGAGTATCTCTTGGACAAATGTATGGCGGAGAACTGATTGGAAAATGAACTACACCTATCTTGTCTTTCATCCCAACTAAATGCACCATAGTTTGTTCATTACTACTAAAGTAATTACTCTGATTATGCAATTTATATTTGTTTATTTTTTTCAAGGTTTCTCATTTTAACAATTATTTATATAGTGCCATGAATATGTATAACTTTTACTGAGAAATCATTGAGTACTTGCCCTAAAAAAGTTCAGTCTAGAAAGCAAGTTCAGTCTAGTCCTGCAAACCATTTTGTAATGACAGATGCCAACACCTATTTCTAGGAAAACAAAAATTATGTCTTATCCATAAAATATGTGCTGTACTTCTTTTGTATATTAAAAACAAACACTGACTTGTTTCCCTGTTACTGTCTCAAATTGCCTTCTTACACATAGGACTAATAATAAATTTTCTATTTGGCCATTACAGGTAAAACATAGCTCCTTTTTGGGTTTTATTTTCCAAATTCCACTTAAGCACACTGGAGAAATCCTCATCAGACAGCATCAATAGTGGGGCAACTACAGATGTCCCCTCAAAACAGAATCCAAGTGTTAAAAGCCTTCACAATAGTGGGAAAGGATGATGGGTCATTGAATACAGTATTTATGGAAAATGCATTTTGAAAAGCAGTAATTACTTTAAAGTATTTAACCATATCTTCTTCCATCGCTTGTCCATATGTATTTGCCTCTTGTTGACTCACAAGTAATAACCTAATTCTTAAAACCCTAGCCTAGTAGTGATTATAAGACGGCCAAACCACATGTTGCTGTCCCACAGATTTCTAAGACTGCCAGTTTCTTTGAGAAGCTTTGCAAAGTTGACTAAACCATGATGGAAAGGGCTGTAATTCTTCATGGTAGGTCAAAGCTAGTTAAATCATAGTATATCTTAATGTATGTAGAAAATCCAATCTCTGGTCAATATAGCTTGACTTTTTATCCTTTCTGCATAAATGACAAAGTTCCCAGGAAGGGGGTACTCTCAAAGGCCTAGTCTAGGGGTGAGCAATAATTTTTAATGGTCGGGCACTTCAAGACTTTGGTAAGCGGTCAAAGGCTGCATTTTCTATGGAGGGGTGTGGAGCTGAGCTAGAGCACTGGTGCAGAAAGGAGCTCAGGGACTGGGGTTTGAGATGGAGTTTGGGTGACAGAA